ATTAATTTTATTAATTCAAATATTGTAGCAATGTGATTGACCTAAATCAAATGGTATGGAAGGTTAAAAAATAAACTTAAAGTGGTTGACAAAACATCTTGATTGACTTATAACTAATTCCAATACTAAAATAGCACAATATGTCTATTGATATGTAATATCTTTGTAGGACATATTCTAATGTCAAATAAGGTTAGTGCTTATGTAGCTATGCAAATATAAAATTCTTTGAATTATTGCAAAATATAATAAAATTGAAGTTTATTTTTGAGGTTTGACATGTCTTGAAAGTTTTTATAGAGAGCTAGATAGTGTTGCATTATATGAAGCTAAAGAAATTCATGGTTGCATAATATTACAGCAAGTATAGGTGTGACACTGACTATTGTGGTTGACTCTAATACTAGGTGAACAAATCATATTTTTACTTGCTCTTAGATGGAGACACCACTAATATCTGCATAACACTTCGAATAAGGATCTTAAAAATATTAAATTAGCAATAGATCATATGGGAGTTCATGAGGTAGGTGTTTAATATGTTGTTAATTATGTTATAATAACACATTTGATATTGTTTATATATCTAATTTTTTTTTATAATGCAGTTTGTTTGACAACCATGTGGGGACGATGTATTAAAATATTAGAGTAGGATGTAACTTATTATGTAATGCGCCAATTTGTATTTGCTCAGTCTATTCCTTTCTCAGCTCAGAGTCTTGAGAGATTCCGTAATAAAGATTTACGTAGACTAAGAGAAACAAAAAATTAAAGACTTATATATGATGATTAGATAACAATGTGGGATCAACGATATCAATGTATCTTACAAGGAATGTCAATTGATAGATATTATCTTTCAAATGAGTATTAGGTGTAGGACACAATATGTGCAATAATTGACTATAATTGTCCTTACAAATGAAGCAACCAACCCCTAAGCAATAATATTTTCTTATAAAGCAGTCACTGCCCAACAGGAGATCCCATCACATTCACCATAATCAAATGAGAAGTTAGATTGATCTTCCCAAAGCGCGCAGTGACAACTATTTGAGTGGGATGAACAATCTTTACAACAAGCACCAACACGAATGTCTAAAGATAAAAGGCGTAAGAATCATAGTTTAAGAAGCAAAGAAACACAAGGACAAAAATATGTTGACTACAGTAGTTGTAGTGACATTTTTGGTAGATTATTGTGCATATATGATTTTATTATAGATGATACTATTTAAAAGACAAAATTCATCAGTGTCACTTTTACCTAAACAAAGATGAATCTAATTAAGAAATGATAATATATTGAGTACTAATACAAGAATATGTGTATAGACCATAGTTTGATATACTGAGTGATTAATGGTCCATGCTAATCATAGTAATCATGTCTTGTAATATGACCCAATAAGGTAGCAAATTTGATGCATCTCTTATGTGGTGGAGCCTGATTCTATCAAAGTTGAAACTACAAGAAATGAGATTGCAAGAGACGAAGCTATAGAACAATGAGAGTAAAGGAAGATAGTAATATTAATATATTTGTTATACATGTTATATTTTAATTTATGTAATTATTATATTTATGATTATACCTTTAATAATTCAAATAAATAAGAAATTACCATTAAAAAACAAAAATAAACTTCAATATTACAATAAATAAATCAAATCTCACAAATGACAATTTTTATAAAAATAAAATAAAATAAAGAAACACTAAAAACTTACTGAAAGCAATTTTTTATTTAAAAAATGTCATTTTTCGTAGGTTAAATCTCGGCATCGTCAAGTTTTAATCAATCTCTCACTTTTTGCAACTTAAATCTCATGACTGACAATTTTTTTTTTAACAATTTCCATATTTTAGTTTTTTTTATAAAATGCCATATTTTAATAAATTTAATTACCAAATCCCACATTTTAAAAAAATAACCAATTAAAAGTACTAGATGATAAATTATATTTTAAAAAATTTGTTGAATAATGTCCCAGTTGAGTTTTTGTCAGCAGAAAGGAGAAAAAGAAAGGCAAAAGTAAACTTGGAAGAGATCCCAGCTTGCAATTTGCATTATTAACAAGGAGAAATCGGGAGCATGATAATGCCAAATCTACTGTGAAAGAACACTCTGCTTCCAAAAATTTGGATACTGATTGGTCTGACATAAGCAGAGGAGTATGATAGGCCTAGAGAGATCGATCGTACCACAAATGCAAGCCTATTCTACTTGGCCACCAAAGATATACATAATACATAAAAATAATGTAATTAATGGGAGCTTCAATGTCGTACACAAAAGCTTTCCAAGTTTCCATGCTACCACTGTCTTACAAGCAACACCTTCAAGACTGATTGTTGTTTTTGTCAGACTCTAATCGTTGCAAACTTCATCTCCTACTCTACCCTTTTACGTTAATTTGATTCCCACGGTTGCTTGGTTTCAATTCCGAAAATGTAGAATGAATATAGCCTATGTCTTCATTTATTGGATTTTGTTTTCTTTTATTTTTTTATAACATAAAAATTACAATCATATGGTTGGTTTCAGTTCCGAAATTATAGAATGACATGGTTGTTTTAACAAATGATCAGCACATAAAAATTTGAAAAATCAAATTTATTAAAACAAATTAAAGTCATTCATAGAATTTATTTATTATTTTCACATAAACTTTCCATGTATTCTTCCAAACGCAACATTTTGCTGTCTTCCTGCGCTGATGAAAACTAACATTAATAACTGAGTCCTTCAATTTGAGAAATTTTATCACAAAATGGTGTCATATGCTTAGATCTATCGTGTTCGCTTCTGGAAGATATTGAAACGTAAGTTCAACGTATTCGTATTGTGTTGGTTTATGTCAGCGGATGAAAATGATAATAAATTTAATAATGACTACAGTTATTTTAGCAAGTTCTCACAATATATATTACATAAAAAGGGAAAAACAATAAAAAATAAAAAATAAGTAACGTAATAAAAATGAAAAAAATGAGAATTTAATATATTTAATAATAAAATTACACTTTAACACACTAGTTAAAATAAAATAAAATAAACCAAAAGAAACGTTGGATCTAATGAAAAGAACTAGTTCTTCATGAAGTCATGGTCTGAATGATACTGAAAATAAAATAAAATAACAATAAAGCATGAACTCAGAATCTCTGAACATATACTAGTTCGGATAAAATGTCTGTCTAAATCCAGCCACTATATATTGTCACAGTTTCACTGATAGCTTCTCAATATATAGTGATGTCAAAAAGTAAAAAAATTACTTCACTCACCAAAAGTTTGAAAGAAGCAAAATGTGGCCAAATATAATTGAAGGCGAAAATAGTAAAAGCTGGAGAACCATATCAATTCTTACATTCCATAAATATGTTGCATGGAAATCAATGCGTACTTCATCATCTCAACAGGACATGATGTGGGAATCTAATCAGAACATTTTGTACTAAGTATAGAACTCGGAGTCAAACTAAACAGTGAGCATCATGTATACTTCAAACCATGGATCCTTGATAATAGACAGACTGAACGGATTCCATTTGTGGTTCCTCCTTGCTAAAGGAGATATAACCAGACACATTGAGTGATGGATGCATTGTAGTACGAAGTGCCATGTGATCTTGTCCATTTTGATGAAGAAATTAACCACAAGTTCTCTACGTGTGCAACTTGGGGAGATAGTGACATTAATAAATCTTTTAAAAATTACTACAGAATATAGCTTTTTAACAGAATAATAAAAAATAATATTTGATAATTATGGGTATAAGTAACATAACGGATTTATTGTAATATTAAATTAACAAGTGCTGTGGAGAGAAAATAATAGAAAAAAAATTAACCGTATAATAATTCATCAAAAAGCAAGAGTCATTCATTCACATGATGATGTAGGATAAGCCCAAGTACAGAAACAATAATTAACCTGTTTGTTTAACAAATATTGGGTCGTGATTAAAATTGTTTAAGTAGCATGTATCATAATGAGCCCAATCTATAATACAACCTTTTGTGAAAAAAAAGGTATATAGCGTTTCCATATACTTAGGGTATCCCACTAGCAAATAAGCTCTTATTAAGTTCAGTTTTCGTTTCAAAAAACAAAAGAAAAACATTTAAGAGTATTCAGTTTTAGCATCATATACGAATACTTACAGTTTAAAGGAGTTCAGAATTGAAGAAATAATTTCATGTTTGTCTAAAAAGTTAACTTCATTATGCCAGAAATTAATGAGTGAATATGATTTTATGGTTGATTACAGCTTATTTGATCTTCTTCTCGTGTTTACGTATCGTATGAATTACAGGCAGGGTCAGGAGATTTCATGAAATGTATACAACCTACTAAAAAGTAAATGAACAACAAAATACATTATGGACGGTTAAATTATTAAATTCTTTTATCATAGAATTTTCTTTTTTTATTTCCTTAATTGTTACATCGATATGTAGGATAGAAATAAAATCTTATACATAAATACTTCTATTGACAGAAGTAACAGCGCAAATATATCCTTTGAAAATAAATTAAGAAAAGAAAAACAAAAGCATATCCTTTAAAATATAGCTATATTGGCCAGAACAGATTAATATGAGCATCATGACTTTATGTGAGACTTTTCTTTTGGTGACTATCACTTGAATCTTGTCCTTTTTATTATTATTGTTGTTCTTGTTTTCATAATAATCACACAGCAGTCACAATATTCAGCGATCAAGTTGAGAAATTAAATAGATAGACACAGATTAAAGAATGTCAATGAAGTCATAAATACTAAATGCAACTTATACGGATGCAATGCAATGACCGTTGATTTGTAGCATACATGTGAGGAAGAAGTCTATTCTAATATACACATGTAAGGAAAACTTACAAAAGATCCATGTGATCCACAAGCTAGTGGGAAAAATCCCACTCCCCAAATTGGAGGAGACCATTGTTATCACCTAAAAACAATGATTCAGTTGGTTACTCTCTGAATTATGTATTATTTGCATTATATGTTTCGGTCACTTTCAATAGAAATATAGGCATAGATTAAATATTCCAAACAAATTCACAGCCGCTTATCTTCTTTTCAAAGTCTTATGTACACCATGAGGAAAAAAAAAAGATACAAAAGTAATTTCAGTAAAGTCTACCATAATTTGTGTAGGGTTTATTAAACTTGTGTCCGTGTCTTTCTTTCTCATATAATATGAGAGAACAACGTGCAATTTGGAACTTGTACGCCATAGTAAATAGCAGCACCAAACAACTAGGTATACATGGAACAGGAGGCCTAGGTGCGAATGAGACACTAACCTTATCAACTATCAATGTAAAAAGCCTACAGAAATCATGTGGCTATAGCAATAAAGAGAGAGAACAAGAAGATCAGTGGGCCTAATGCATATATGCTCCACAGCCTTCTTAACAATGGCAAGGTACAAAGAAATAGGGCAAGCTGTTTTTGTTGAAGGGTTGGGAGGTGGGGGGTTAACCTTTGGGCAGAGAGTGTACACAACACTCAATGATAGAGCAGGCAGAATATGTGAACCAAGAGTTGGACAGCGATGGGGGCACACAGATTTCCATGTGATACGATCTTGAATATACTGAATCATCACTATCATGAAAAATGAAGATATAAGAACTGATTTTTCCTAACCGTGCAAAACTTTATAAGAAGTTATGTATAATAGTTTTTTTTTATTGAAAATTATACTATTTAATAATTTCGATATATTGAATTGCCTATTAGTTGTAATTTTTTATTATGTATAATGTGGAATAGTCTAAGAATACAGTATAAGAATATTCTTTTTAATTAAATTTTGGTTAAAAATCATTAAAATATCCGGAAAATATATTAAAATTTACGACAAAAATGTATTGATAAATAACTTTACTGTTTTTATTTTACATTTTATTCTTTAACTTGAAGCTACTGGTTAGTATCTTTTACTTTAAAGAAGAAATCTACAATTTAACTTTGAGCATTATTACATGAGAGGGAAGTAATAAATGGATGGAAATATCTCTGCCATAGGGATAGCGTACCTTTGAGGGTCCAACTTGTAAGACGTTTGTTGGTCCACCAACCGGAGCGACGGGTGATTACTGCATACCAATATAAAGCCGAAGCCTTGATCATGGAACTAACAGATGTCCATTGTCTCCGCGCCTTTGAATATCCAAGTTCCCAAGCCAGCTTCCATTTTCAATAATATGATTAATTGCTAAGTTGCAAACCAATTTGAAATTGTATCCAATATTAATTAAAAAAATATTTACTTCATGCATTAATATATATATATATATATTAGGAATGGGAACCCTCTTCCCCCGGGAAAACCATTTGGCTAATGGAATCAAAATCACAAGGTGACAATCACCAAATCCCCTTCCCTTGTAGTTTTCACTCACTCTATATGAACTAAACTAGAGACTTCGATGAAGTTCTTAAGGGATTTTACATAATAAACAATACCAATTGTTATGTATAGCACTATACATAGATATAAAATGGATCTATGATGAATTCCAAATACTCTCATCAAAAGTAAAAGTTACCATAATAACAGCAGCATCCCACTTGCTACTCAGTACCCTAAAATCAAAATACCAATTTCAATTTCCTATCTCTCTCTTTCTCTCTCTCTCAGTGTGCTTGTCTCTCTAACATTCTCTCCAGATTTGGATAAAGTGATATCTCCATCTATATTTAGAAACTGAAAAGACACCATTTAGATCCCAGCATTTCTGATGGAAAGGAATATTCATAGATCTGTGAAGTCAGCACATAAAGGACCTAACAGCCGCTCCTCTTGGCCTCCAAATACCCTATATTTGATAACCTAGGATGGACTGCAAACACAGAACCACTAATTAATGTATAGTAACATAGTAATAATTAGAGACAGAAGCACTGCAAGGCCATGCCCATGTCCATTAATGCGCCAATAAAAAATTAGCACACCATAAATTGAAAGAAAACAAAGGATAAAACCCACCTGACACCAACAAAAAAGAAAAAAGGCAAGTGGGGAAGGGTCGCCTCTTGTTTAGATCATGTCTGAAGTTTATTTGTGCTTTGTGTATTCCACAACAGTTATTGTGCTTTGTGTGTATTCCACAACAGTTATTGTGCTTTTTAGCCCACTTTTTGTGGCTAAAATAATACTTATGCAACTTTTTTATAGCCGTTTATGGCTGATGCAGCATCATCAAGATTCTCACTTCAACTTGGTTGGCAGAGCCTTTAGATTGCATCAGAGTCCCACCCACCTGCATTTGCATGTGAATCTTGATGATGCTACATCCGCAAATAACGACTGTCAATCTCCCCATGCAACTATACATACAATAGCGCCTAAAACATAAAAGCTACCATACAATTTCCAAATACCCAATCTCATCCAAAACTACACATCATAGCTGCACAAAAGCCACTTCTTACACACACCAAAAGGCTAATCTAACGGAAAATTGTCCAAAGGGAGAACAACATGAAACATAGAGACAATAATAACGGAAAAAGTAAAAAATAAAAACAAAAAAAGTGAAAAAAAAAAAATAGAGATTTTATGTGAAAATTTAGCAGCAAAGCAACTAGGAGGAGCACAGAGTCTATTAGATTTAGTACCGAAACGAATCTACCCAGATGAACTCATTCATCGAGAACCCCAAAAAAAGCTAATATCACCCCCTTACAAAAATAATTTGTTAAAAAACAACAAAAAAATGCTTTTAGAACCTCTAAAGATCGAAGAAAACTGAAACAAATGGGATTCAAACCCTGCTACAGGTGATGATGGTGTGTGCATTAGAAACCATCCTTTTCCATTCTAGATAAATAAGAAAAGAAAAGGAAACGCAGCAAGAATCAAATCTAAACGACAATCCCTCTTAAAAGTAAAGGTGAAGGGAAAAGTGCTTAAAAAAATTATACAAATATTGCTTAAGTACTCCACCCAATTTGAGAAGAATAGAGTATTTATACACATAATAATAATAATAATAATAACAGTACCTCGAAAATATATACATAATAATATAACATCTGAGATCTAACAGTAATATGGAGAACAGAAAAGGAAGATGATGAAGGAGGAGAGAGAAGCTATTTAGAGTTTGATGGTAAGTGGGAACAGTAGGAAGAGGTTGGGCAGGTATATATAGATGGACACAACGCGTTATTTCATTGGTTGAAAAATATTGCTTATGTGAATGGTGATTGGTTGAACTTATTATAAAGTTCTATATATGTATGGTTCTTTTACTATGTTCCATATGGATAAATACACAATTTAATCTCCCCTAAAACCCTACTGCTGATTAATATTTAAGGGTGAGAAATCGAAATTGAGGAGATTGGCATCAACCAATTGTCACATGGAACTAAATTTTTCAATACTGGAATATGGTGTGATTATGGATATTGTAATTTATTTGAGACGGCCGAGTTTTTTTTTTTAAATGTATAAAGTAAAAATGAATAATTTTTTTTTATTTTACACAGTAATCATTTTCTATTGTTGACATAAAATAATCAATTTCATATTCTATTGAAAATCTATCTGACATTATTATTTTATTGTTATCGTCAGTAAAATTTAGAATATGTATTATAAATCTAACATTTAATTAAATAGGTAATAGTAATTTATTTGTTGTGTTTAATTATACGCAATATTTTTATGTTGCTATTACCAAATTATGAAAAAACTAATGTATGAAAAAAAAGCATATTTTATTTTAAGTTTTTTACTTTTTGAAATTAAAATATTAATTTAAAAACTCCTCCAAAGATTTACATTAAAGTAAGGTGGTCTTCCAATTATGGGATATTAAATAAGCTTCCAAATAAATTCATTTATAATATAAAAATGATCATTTTTTTATCTTTGAAATTTTATTCGATATTCCAATTTGTTTAAAGAATAAAGTTGAGGTCTAGTTAATGTTTTGGAAAATAAATAAATAATTCTCTGACAGCTAATTATCTTACTTAATTTATAAAAATGTTTAAAATTTTGAATACTTTCAACCTAATTATTATCACAATAGATAAGTTTAAAATACTTAATAGAGATAGATAGACAGACAAATAAATAAATATAGTATTAATTTTTTTTATCAAAGTTGTTACATATTTTATTTAAATTATTTTCATTTATTACTTATTATTTAATATTAATTTATCATTTATTTATGGATATTTTGTATTTGCAACATTTTTAATTTGATTTGTTTTATATTTTTAAAGTGAACTTTTTAAAATTTTCAAATAAATAGCAGTAAAAGGTACAATAGTTTAAATAAAGCAAAAAAAAAATATCTTAGATAAATAAAAATATATATAAGAGAGCATTTGAAATATATATATATATATATATATAATTTTATAAATTTTGTTTAACTTTATTTCAATAAATTTTTTAAAATAACTTATTAATTTTTAAAAAAATAATTTTATAACAAATTTGCATCATAATTAAGTTATTATATAAAATATTATTAAATAAATACTTAATTAAATTATTTATTCATAACGCATCCTAAAATGATGTTTCAATTATTAATCGTGCGGTCCAGTATCATTCTCAGTTTTCTTGGGAAACACCTATCGCTGAATTTGGCTTTTGACCAATTTGGATGTTCTAAATTAGACAATCGGTACTCGCCCTCCAACCGCTAAATTGTAAAACAGCCTCTATTTATTAATTAAAAAAAAATACTAGTATTTGGATATGAAAAACGTGTATTTGATATAAGTTTCAAATTTCATCATAAATTTAACCTTGTGAACTTCTTCGTACTTTTGAATAAAGAAATGAAAAAAATTAAAATATGATAATTAAACAAAATCTAAAGAAAAACCTAAAAAAAATAAATTCAATTTTATTGATTTTCTCAAAATCTTTAATAAATTATCAAAAGTGATATTATAATTTTCTTAACTTATTCAAATTACTACCTTAAACATAATTAATATATGTACCATGTCAATAATAAAATCTCACGTAATTAATAAATAGTTGTATATTTTAAACATGTCAATATTTGCCGATATGAATAAAAACATTTATTAAGAGAGACAAGTAACTATCAACTAAAAGATATTCTTGAAAACATTAAAAATATGACTTTTTTATTTTTTTATTTATAAATTAAAAATAATTGGTGTACAACATTAAAAATTTAAAGTAATATTTTAAAAATTAAAGTGTTCGTAGTATTATTTATTAATTTAAAAATATTTTAATAGCATATTTATATTTATTATTATTGCAAATTATTAAATAAAATTTGAATTTTAACTAATATATAGCACAAGAAATACATATGAGAGATCCGAAACATTGATCCTCCTTCTTGGCTGTTTAGGAAAAGAGAAACGGGTAAGTTAAGTACTTACAAAAGTCACTCTAATTAATGGCCAATCCAATATAGAGGATGAACACTAATTGAGAAGGGTTTGGTTCCTTATTATATGGCCATGCACTGTAATATTCACTGTTGCAAGAAGGGGGCAACCTAACAGTATAGACAGACACATAACGATCCTTAAGTCAAGGGGAGTCCCTTAGGGGATGGGACCACTTTTAGGCTATTGGACCCTTGTTTAGGTAACCCTTCAGCTTCTTTTTTTTTTTTTAATTATTACTATCTCATTTTTATGAAAGTGAATGCAAAAGCCCAAAAGAAAAAGTTTCAATTGGAAAAATTGAACGGTGTAAAACAATCCAACAACATCAAAATCAACAGTAAAGTCAAACTACGGCACATGACATCCTCAGACACTCCAATTGCAAGTATGAATGAATAATATAGAGCATAAAATTTCAGTGCAGCCCCTTCAAGATTTTTTGCATTATTTTTAATTATAAATTTAATTAAAAATATTTAAAAAATTACTTTTTTTTTTCCATAAACAAAACTCTTATCTTCAAAGTTTCCAATCCAAGACATTGCACAACAGTTGGTTGCTCACATGCAGCTATTTAGGGAAGTGTGTGAGCATGTGAAACCAAAGGGAAGATATCTATCTTTAATCATGTATCAATTGAGTGTTAGGTTAAATAAAAGTTATTCCTATAAATATTATATTAAAAATTAATATGAAAATAAATTAAATCAAATCACATTAAATATATAAATGTTCTTTGTCCTTTTTTTTTCTTTTTACGAAGATATTGTCAAATATAAACAATAAAAAGTACAGAAGGCTCTCTTCTTTTTCCCAACGGTAGGTTGTCCATACTAGATATTTTCCGAAATGTCAAAATACGTATCATCATCCTTAATCCAAAAACTAAACTGTTACTTCAGATAAATGCATCCTTTCTTGCCAGAAACACCAAATTCTTTGTCAAATGAATTTCCTTTGGACTATGACAGAAAATGATACATTATTAATTTCTTTGGAAATATCTCCAACCAGATCATCTCTGTCTGTTTTAGTGTATGTTCGGTAAACGATTCTTTTTTCAGAAATATTTATTAACAAAAAAATGTTAAAATAAATGGAACCAAACATATATATAGTGACTAAAAAAGCGACAATTTCCTATACTTAAGATATGGTTTACCCCACGTATTGTCACTAATGGTTTTTCTGTTATTAATATCTCCATCGAAGTCTATTTAAACACAACCTTGAAGGGCTAAAACTACATTAATTCTAAAACATATACGTAAACTCTTGCATAACAACCATCTGGGCTCTGCCCGTACCCTCTGAATGTTAAAACTCCAACCAACCACATGTGATACCATTCAAATGCTATGGTGTCTATATTATGAACAGAATCTACTTTGCATGTGCTACCTAAAAAGTTAATGTTCTCATCACGAGAGTTTAAAAAGCGTGAAAGTAGTTTGCACGTGCAATCTAAACTTTGCAAGTGTCAATTCACCTGGGCTCAGAGTTCATGGGAGATTAATCTATCAAGGACTTAAAAACTCAACTTATAAAATCTCGTGATCAGTTTTTATATATGTAACAACTCTGTCTTTTACATGTAAGATTTCTTAAAAAAAAAACGTTTAAAGAGTGAGTGATTAATGCATAGACTAATTTTATGTTGTTCTAAAATTTAACCTT